AGCCCCTACGACTACAGGAGGCTCCTGCGCAAAACCTCCCAGCGCCGGCGCCTGGTAGAGCAGTTGTAGCGCAGCTGTTGAGAGGCTGCCACGGTCAGAAAGTGCTCAAGCCTGAGGGAGCAAAGCGGGGAAGTCTGGGGCGCTGGCACCTCCAGGGACTGAAGCCCAGTGCTTGACCTCGGTAGGGGCTGCCTGCTGCGCGTGCCCCTCAAATGCTGGGGTCAGCCTCCCGTGCCCAGAAGGAGGAGCCCTTGGGAAGCCCCAGGCGCTGCACCCTGAAGACCCTTCCCCGACCCCGCACTCCCCTCTCTCAACAGCCCTTGAGTTGGAGCAGCCCTGTCCCTGTTTCCCTAATGTATCTGTTCATTTGTTTGAGACCCTTTCTGTGAATCTAGCTGCATCTGAGCTGACATCAGCCCCTCTCTCATTTTGGGTGACATCAAAGATTTTTTTTTTTCCTTTATTGCAAACAACCGTCTCAGGCCTACTGGACAATTTCGGGTGGGATGAGTCTTCCAGAACAAAGCCCGGGTGGGAGCAAGGAAGGTGAATTTCATCTCAAACTGAGCTTTCCTTTCTCGTGGTCATTAAGATTGCTGAATAAAAAGGAAGCGCCTTGAAAAATCCGTGGTTTGCAGAGCAGGCTCATCAAGTTCGCTTTGGGGCCCCGCTTCTGCTGTATAGAGTGCTGGTGGCAGCTCCCAGAGACAAGAGCAGAGGTGTCCCCAGTCGCCATTAGCAAACGCCCTCCCCAACCACCTCAAACACACACAATCTAAATTAATTCCCCCCGCATTTGTCATGAAAACAGGACCTCCAAACAAAACTCCAGACCCCCAACACCACACACAAACGTGCTGCTTTCCTAATCAGTGTGGCTTCCTTTAGTCTTGCCTAGAAAAATTCCAGCCATATCACTGAGGAGAACTGTCAGGCTTTACATTCACCTACTCTGAGATTTGGGGCAATCTCCACCGCTCCGAATTTGGGTGTACTTAAGTTGAGGGGGAAGAGTAGTGAATGGGCAGAGGTCTGCATTCAGCAGTTGACTGCAACTTAATTTAAAAACCGGGTTAAGACTTTCTAGAAAAGACATCCTTCAGGTCTCTGCAGCCTGGAAAAGTGGGAGGAAGGATGGCGAAGTGATTCCATGAACCACTGAATCTGAAGAAGTGTTCTGGCGGGGACTCGTCCTTTCCAGGAGTACCCTCAGCTCCTGTACCCTGGGGCTCCAGCCAGAAGACTGGGAAAATGCTGGGAGTTGACAAGAGACGGGGAGGCGGTGGGAGGTGATAATGTTTGCTGTGCCACTTCTCCACGGGTTGTAATAGTCTCACCAGAGAGTTAGCTCCGAACGCTCCCCAGAGACTGGACTTGTGCACACTCTCCATTTTACCGAAGTCCAGTCCCAGGAAAATCTCCAGCTGGAACTGGGACAAACCTCCAGTTCAAATGCTCTGTAGGCCCTGCTCCTTTCCTGAGTTAGCGCTGTGACCACGCTAGGGCTTGGGACCCAAGAAACGAGTCACCCCCGGTTGTTTGGACCACGGAAGCTGTCAGACCTGATCCTAGCACCAACAAAACCAGCTCGGCAGGGCATGTAGCTGGTTCTAGGGGTAGGCTCAAGGGTCCACCTTGAGGTGGCCCAGCCCCATCTACTCCTACGTACCTACCCAACCACCACCAGGAGACCCTCCACAGGTAGGTGCCTTCAAGAGGACTGAGCTCTTCGCTGCAAGGCCCATTCTTCAACCCAAGCTTCCCACGTGACCCCTGCAGAACCGAGAGCCCCGGAATCAGCTCTTCGTTTGCTGGATAGGGAGGCATCAGCTATTATCCCTAAATTCCCTATTTCTCCCCTAGCCCTTCCCCACGGGGTTTTTTGTTTTGTTTTGTTTTTGTTTTTTAAGTGAGACTGGAAAAGAGAATGGCCAATGCTTTGGTGAAATGTTGCAATGTATTTGTTTCCTTTTTCTTTCTCCCTCTTTTTTTAGCATCCCTCCTCCTTCCTCTGTCCCTCCACATTTAAGCACTGAAAAAAAGGACACAAGGGAAAACTTGTACCAGATAGTTTTTCTTTGGCCCGGGCTACGACACGATCTCTGGGTAACCTATGGACAAGAAATAGGTCACAGCAAGTAAACCGTGCCCGGCGGACTTCCCTTGGAGCATTGGGTCTGTCCCCCTATTCGGAAAGGCCTTCCTTTCCAAAGCTTTTCCCCAGCGCTGGCCCGCCTTCTCTAACCAGTCGGTGGCTGCCTCCTTTGTGAACTAATGACTGTAATTATTACCTCCCTTCACTCTTTTGTTATCGCCAACCCCGAGCCTAAGAGAGGGAGCAATGGGCTTTTCTGCGAAATGAAATTCTTTACAAAGCAAATTGCGTTGTAAACGGGGGGGAGGGAGGAGGGGGGGGGGAGAGATGGCGTTAGACGCCAGATTCCCGTCTGCATCTGAAGTAGGGGATTTAAGTAAAATTTTAAAAAATGTTAAATACCACCAGCAGATGCAGAGTACTTGGGGGCTGGATTCGATGGCGCTTAAACAGTAGCAATTTTAAGTCATTGTTTAGAAAAAAAAATCAGTTAAATTCGGATGTTGAGATTTCTGCCTTCATCTTTTAAAATATCCGTTTCTTCCTCGGGTTTTTTTTTTTGTTGTTGTTGTTGTTGTTTTTTGTTTGGTTTTGTGTGTGTGTGTGTGTGTGTGTGTGTGTGTGTGTTTGCGCGCGCGCGTTAAACGCTTGTTTTCTTAAGAACCTTTTTAAAAAATTGCCAACCACTCATCCATAGTAGAAAAGTCCTGCAACCCCAGCCTGCTGGCTTGGAGAGAACTATGTGCAGGACTCAGCGTGGATTTAAACAAAGAACTAGGTTCGTCGATTCGTATTTGAGAGGCGCGAGAGACAACTGCGGAGCTGACCTTCCCGCAGCTCAGACGACCGGACCAAGAAGTCTCTGCTTCCTTGGACTTGTAACCTTTGTTAAGTGGAGCTTCGGAAACCGAGCTCCTGAAAGGGGCGGAGCTGAGATCTAGGTTCAAGGCCGCTGCACTCTCGCCTAGTCGAGGCTTCTTGCTAGAGCCAGCTCAGCTCCACCCCTTGGTCAGGACCCAGACAGTAACCGCCCCTACTCCCATTCCTGGGTCCCACAGCCACAGTGTGGATCCTCCAAATCAGCTGGATTAGGCACGTGGAAAGAAGACAAAGCTTAGTGAAGAGAATTGACCAGAGTGTAGCATACCCAGGGAAACAAAATTTGGGCCGGTATGTGGCCATCGCGAGCCCCAAGACGCCCCTCCTAAAGGAGGATCCAGGGATGGTAGCCAAGACTGAGGATCCAAGGGTCTCTGCTTTGGTAACAGCTTTGGTGACTGGTTCTAAAGACAGAGAAAAAATGCTTGTGAACACAATGGGAATGACCTGAGATCCAACAGGACTCAGGAAACTCAGACACCAGGAGAGGCTGAACACATCTCCTTTCCGCCAGAGCCATATACTCCTTCTCTTCTCTTCTCTTCTCTTCTCTTCTCTTCTCTTCTCTTCTCTCTCTCTCTCTCCCCCCACCACCCCCAGCTGCCAGTTGTAAAAGTTGATATCCACTCTCCATTGCCAAAAGAAGGCAAGGGGAAATCTGCTGGCCGCAAATCTTTGGAGCACCTACCCTGTTTAACCATTTTTAGATAAAGAAAATCATCAGACAAGAAAAGACTCTGACCTTCTCATATTTATTAGAAAAGGATTCTTTCCCACCAAGCCTCAGAGGCAGCCAATCTTGTCCTCCCTGGTACCCCCCTAACCTGAAGATTACCTTGGGGCAGGGGGAGGGGGTTATTGTTTTGAGGCCCCCTAAAATGAAGGGCCAAGCAGGTTTTTTTCCCCTTAGGATTTGGGAAGCCCAAATTGCTTAGTTAGAAACAGTGTGCACCCCTCCCACGCATATACAAATTCCAGTCACAGGTAAAGCTGGCCCTTTTAAGTCTCTGTGGACCAAGGTCATCAAACGACCGGATCCCATCCCCCATCAACCTTCAATCCAGCAGGCTCTGGTTGCTCTCCCCACTCCCTTCCAAGAAGTTTCCGTTCGTTTTATTTATTTTTTCCGCCAGCCCGAGGTCCTGAGTGATAGACTCCAGCGTGGATTTTAATTGCCTCAATCAGCAGTCTTTCTCCCCAGCCGTCACTCAAAACCTGGACGGTGGGTCCAGCGCTTCGCTGCTCAGGAATGGCATGCTCCAGGGCCAGCACGGCTCAGTAGGCACGCATTAGATTCTACTTAGGAGCTGAAATGAGCCCTTCTGCACTTAGACGCCCTTCCCCCATTATACCCTTTCCAGCTTCTGAATTGCGCCAGATTTTGGCCTGACCAGCTTGAGCTCTTGAGGTCGCAGCGACCTCCTCACCCGCTTGGAGGGAGAGGGCCAGGGAACCGCGTTTCCTTCCCGGCAGCCAGAGCCAGACCTCAAACAATACGCTAATCGGTACATGTGTAAAACTCGTCTAGGTCGCCACATTGTCCCAGGTCCGCCCCGCTCTAAGGCCAGCGCACTGTCGATCGCAGTAGGACCCTGGACAGCGCGCCTGGGCAGCTACCATCACAAGACGCTAGCTCTTCTGGGGCGCGCGTGCACGCCCCATTCTGTCTCCAGCTTAAGTGTACTTTCTGCCTCGCACCGTAAGGATTCAGTTCCCTATCTCTCTCCCATTTTTTCCTCCTTCGCTTCCTCATCCATCCCCTCTAGGCTCCCTGTCCTTCAAAATCTCTCTGGCGGTTTGGGCTTTTCAATATCCAATATTTGAGGAGCCTTCGGACCCCTTCCCCATTTAACCTCTGCAGCTTCCAGAGCGTTACCACATCCCTAAGCCCCAACTCTAACACACGCGCGCACACGCAGACACGCACGTTTCCTGTCCCTGTGTGACACCCACCCTCGTTGCGCGTCCGCACCCGTCCCCGCGCAGTGCCCTCCTCCCGCCACACACTCGCAAGCACGCGCGCGCAGGGCCGAGCCTAAGGCAGCTCGCCCCGCAGCCCGCACTCAAGACCTGCTCCAGTCTCGCAGCGCGGATGGCATCTCCGGGCTCCAGCTTTTGGTCCTTCGGGTCTGAAGATGGCTCCGGGGATCCCGAGAACCCCGGTACAGGTAGGAGAGTGGGGTTTTGCAGCTGGCGAGCTTTGTAGGTGGCCCAGGGTTTTGCAGGGCTCCTGAGAAGACTAAGGAGGTTTTACCACCTGCAACAGAAAAAACTTCTTTGAATGCTTTGCCCTGCTCTCCTGTTAAGTCCTGGTTCACCCATGAACCCAAGACCCCCACAGCCCTTTTCCCCCTAGGAAGATGACCAAAGAATCCCAGATCCTTTCCTCCTAAGGTTAAGAGAGCTCCTCAAACACGGGGGGCATCTCCAGAACAACAAATTCATGGACCTAGGACGTTGCACCTTGGTGTCTAGATCCTGGTCTGGGACCGAATGGCGGTGGGGAGGGGGAAAATGGGAAGGGGAGAGAATTGTTAGTCTGAAAAGGGAGCTTGCAAGGAAATGGACAGCCTGTTATCTAGGAAAACTAGCTCAAGCGAGGCACGTAGGAGAGTTTTTTCTGAACCCATCCGCACCTGGAAGGCAAGTACAAAGGGCCGCAGTGTGCGCTTCTCCTTTGAAAACAAATCAGTGTCCTGAGGGCTGATCGGGGTTGTTAGGACCGTCTCGCTCCCCGCACCTGTCTGCGCACTGTCCCAGGCGGCCCTTTCTCACAACCCGAGCTTACTAAGGTTGTTCACTTAGAACAAAATTTCACACGTCCATCAGCTGATCTCTTTATGGTTCTCTGTCCTCCTGCCTGTCTTTCTTTGCAGCGAGAGCCTGGTGCCAGGTGGCCCAAAAGTTCACAGGCGGCATCGGAAACAAGCTGTGCGGTAAGTGCAGCAGCCCAGGGAAGGGGGGCTGGCAAGGTCCGGTGCTCTCGGCCCGCAGGAGCAAAACCGCCTTTTCACCTCTGCACCCGAGTTGGGGTGTATTGGCCGCGATGGGCGAGGGTGAGAGAGCTAGGCCTGTCAGGCCAATGATGACCTAGGCCGGCGATCTGTGTTCCTGTCCAGCTTTGCTCTACGGAGATACTGAGAAGCCAGCGGAGAGCACTGGGAACGTGTCCCCGCGGGCCGCCGCCCGGAAGGTCGCCTGCACCTGTGATCAGAAACCCTGCAACTGCCCCAAAGCGGATGTCAACTATGCTTTTCTACACTCAACAGGTAAAGGAGTCTCACTGGACCCCAGGGGCCCCCCTGCTACTTGCTCTGCCCCGCCCATCTCGGCCTGGGCGACGTCCGTTGCGCTGGGAGTTTGCGGGAGTCGAGGTGATTCCCAGAGGCTGGCTTTGTAAGAATCTTCAACTGTACGCGAGAAAAGCTTGATGGAGTCCCAGTCTCTTGCGCTGCAGCGCCCTTGCCCCAGCACGGGCAGGAGCTGTGGGTGGCCGAGCGGCCTGGCACTCTGTGGTTCATTGTGGTCTTCGCTACGTTGCTGGGGTCCTCGGGTGGGATTCAATTTCTAGATGTCCTGTAGGAGAACTCAAAATTGCTGAGATATTTTAGGTCTTTAGATTAGATCGAAGGAGTAACGTGTAGCTGTGATTTCACAGGGGAAAGATTTTGTACACGTGAGACCTGCTCGCTAAATTTTACCCCGTGCGCCTATACTCTCAGTCTCCAAAAGGCGCGCATACACACACACACACACACACACACACACTGACTTGGGGATCAGCGGACCTTTAACAGGCCCATTTCACTTTGCCTGGTTTGCCCAAAGGCATTTCGCAAACACTTTGGAAGTGAGATGTTTCCATAAACATTTTAAATGTTTTAGGACAAACTCCCATGATCAGATAAATGGAGGCACAATTTCTGAAAAAGAAAAAGAAAGAAAGAAAGCAAACAATGTTGTGAACTAAAATGCAAGAGTTTTTTTTTCCTGGAAGAGGAGAAATCATAATTGCTCTCATTCATTCCCTTCGTCTTTGAAAAATGCCTCTCCTTTAAAGAAAATGCTCTGCTTTTCCAAAAGTATTTATGATTGTTGTTGTTTGTTTAATGTAAAATCTCTGGATTCAAAGAGACATTAATTGCCCAGTCGATCGCGCCTGAATATTTCCATAGTAAAATGGTGTCGTTTTAATTCTATTCTTTAGACCTACTGCCAGCCTGTGACGGAGAAAGGCCCACTTTGACATTTCTGCAAGATGTTATGGACATTTTGCTTCAATATGTGGTGAAAAGTTTCGATAGATCAACCAAAGTGATTGATTTCCATTATCCTAATGAGCTTCTTCAAGAATATAATTGGGAATTGGCAGACCAGCCACAAAATTTGGAGGAAATTTTGATGCATTGCCAAACAACTCTAAAATATGCAATTAAAACAGGTATTGTCCTATCAGGAATAATAAAGCTCTTCTTTTCTTTTACAATTTTTATCTTTTCTATAAAATGTTTTGTTTTATGGAGTTACTGATATTTTCAAAATTGTAAAGCTATTTTCATCATTTAAAAATAGTAATGATTCAAATGACTCAAAAGCATTTTCTGTTATTGTTTATGCATCTGAAGTTGATAATATAAGAAATATCATCTTAGCATAAACTGTCAGCATTTACATTGCATGCATTTGACCATGGAGATGAACCACTGATATAGAAGCAACTGTTTGTCAGCAGAGGACAGTAGATTTGACCCAAAAATAGAAAAAGAAAGGGAATAAGGAAATGAGAGCTCAAAAGGCATCCAAACAAAAGCCTGAATTCCAGTATGGTGCTGGTAATTTCCAGGCATAGAACTATTCAGGGACCTAACCATGTTATGTAATCATTGAGCCAGAGTTATAATGTTGTGGCATTGTCTCAATTAGCTGGGACTTCAGATTTGAATTCCAGGTTTTCTCCTATTTTTTAAAGAGGTGTGTGCATGCGCGCGCGCACACACACACACACACACACGCTATATATACTAGCTTAGCAATTCAGTCATAATATATGAGGATATAAGGATGTGTCCTTCACGGGCATTGTGTAAAAAGATAAAAGAAAGGCAAGTGCGGAGATGGGGTGGGGGTGGGCAAAACTGATATCCTTAGGGGCACATTTTTTTAAAATGTATTTTGTAGCCTAGATTTGAGCAGTATTCTTTATTGTCCATCCATTTTATAGTTCCAGGTGTAACATTTATTTGGGTGCATTTCAACCTTTCTTTTTATCTACACAAAATCAATTGTTCATCAACCCAGGGCCTGATTACCCTTCTTTTTTCCTACATTGTCTCCTATCATCCTGATACATGGTAGTGTGGCACTTCATTAAAGCAACAAAAATAAATACAAATGAATTTCTGGGGAGAAAAAAGACCTAGTGGATCTAAATTGATTTATAGCTTTAAGAGGATTTGCTTACAAATAAAAAATGGGAAATATTACATAAACATTAATTATCATAGACATGGCATATTTTATATTGCAATTTTTCTTGATGAATTATCAGTATTGTCCTAATCAATGACAACCATTTGAAGAACGTTTGGTGGGAGATTTTCGGCTTTTTTCATTTATTTATTTATTTTGCACATTCTTTGTGACAACAAAGAAAGGTATGCACAGACAAAGCCTTGGAAAATTGATTTATTGTATTATTTTCCACTTTTGTGGAATTAGAGATTTAGAAGAAGATACACAGAGGAAAAAAAATTAACTTGTTGACTTCCATCAGACTGTGGAGTGTGGTTTTCAAAGGTTTATTAAATATCAATCAATTTACATTCCTGGAGAACTCACAAGATGTATATACACCAGTCATTAAAAGATGTTTCTCTCCCACCAGCTTTTAATATACCTATAGGTGCAAACCTGAGCAATACTTTTAAGTCATTTTTGTTTTACCCATGCCCCTTACCTAATATTTAAATGTTGATAGTAAATTGGTGTCTATTGACACCAAACCAAAAAGAATGTGTAAAATGTTTTACATCTTCATCCTTGAAAGCTGGTGGTATTTGAAATGCAATTTAAGGGGTTGAGATAATGGCAATGCAAGTCAATAAAAGTAATAGTTCTGTCTATCAATGTTCCATTTAGTGTCAGGAAAAAAAAATGGGCCAATTCAATACTTAGATTTTGCCATAATGCACATGAAACTGTTCGTCAAGTGTTGCTCTATTACTTTTTATTTAAACTTTAGATAAATATCTGATGTAGTTGGATTTCTAAGTAAAGCATATCAATACTAATATAATATCTCAACAATATTCCTATCATATGTAGTATTTTGGCCTTCTGTCCCAAATAGTATTTTAGAAAATTAACAATAGGCACCTTCTCTCTTCAACTGGCAAGTTTACAGATATTTATGCTTCAGCGTATTTGTCAACCAGTACTATTTAGGGTCTCCATCAAAGTCCTTACCTTGCCTGCTACCATCCTGCATTTTCATAATCCTTGGGAGATTCCTTTAGAAAATGCTTGTTATCACCTGGTTTCCGCCGGAGAGTCCTTAGTTGACTTCTACTTGGGCTCCAAGCTTAAAGAGGAGGTAGGCACAGTGGGGAAATTCATTAAAATGAAGTCTGCATGTGTTGAGTTATTTTTTTTTAATGAATATTGCAATAAGAAATTTCAGTGAATGATAGGATTCTGGAATAGTTAATGTTTGCAAGGATTATTAGATTTGGTGGGGATAGAGGTAGTAAGGGGGAGTAGTAGGGATTAATATAGCCTGGACTCTTTAATTGAGCCATCAGACAAAGGGAAGTGAAATATCAGTAAATGATGCTGTCCTTGTTTGGGTCACTACTACACAAAGAGCAATATGTGGAGGATGAGGTTGTGGCTCAGCAGTAGAGCGCTTGCCTAGCACTGGTTCTATCCTCAGCACCACATAAAAATAAATAAATAAAATAAAGCTATTGTGCCCAACTACAACTAAAAAATAAATATTTAGGGGAAAAAAAAAACAAAGAGCAGTTTGGATGTCTTTGGCCCCTCCCCAACTGATTGTGAGCACCAAATCCGAGTTGCCAGAGGCTGGTAGTTCAAAGAGTCTGTGCACCCTTTTGGGCTCATTTGCTTATCTGTAGGGAACATTCCAGCAGCGCCTGGAGCAATCCTAATCTCCTGTCACAAATGGCTGCAGTCTCCTTAGCTGCCCAAGGGGTGAGTGGCCACCAGATTCTCCTGTGCAGCCAGACCTAGCTCAGGTCGCATGCCACTGATGGTGCAGCTGGACGCCCAGGGCTGCTTGGGACAGCTGACAGGTTCAGAGGCAGGTCTCTCACACTTGCATAGAGCCCTGTCTGGATTCACTAGGCAGCCCTAGGAGGCCGCCTATAGGGGCCGCAGGTGGTGAGCAAATGTCATCAGGGGAATATTTCTGCCAGAAATCAAAAGGGCATGCAGTTCTCACCTGTCAAACTATATCCCTCCATGTTTTCACATTATTATCAGTGAATGAGAAACTGGGGGCAGGAGAGATTCAGGTGAAATAACAGGCCAAGGTCAAATAATATATACAGGGACAGAAAGCTAGTGATTGAAACATCAAACTTGTATTCACAGTGGTCATCTGAGTGGATTGGTCTTCTGATATCCAATCCACAGCACATACCTTGGAATCCCTTTCAGTCTTATGCAGAGGTTTTCATGCCAAATTTTCCATACAGTTGATTGCTCTGTGATAATAGTCACCAGGCTCATCTAGGAAATGCATGAGCTGAGAAGTAGATTAATGGATAGATTTGCTAATCCTTAATAATTTCCTTACTTAAAAAAATGACTCAGGGACAAAGAAATAGAGGGGCATCCGGAGGGAGAAATAGGCTGTGATTTCAGCTGTGAGCTGTAATGAAACGGGGAGTCAATGAGGCAGAGAGGAGTAGGGGGTTGTTCCAGATGTCAGCAGCAGCACAGAAAGACTTTTTGCCTCTCCTGAAAGGGTAAACCGATGGGCTCAGCATCAAAGGGCCTGGAAAAGAGCAGAAAAGATGGAAGGGTGCCTCGTGCAGCTTTAAAAGAGGTTTAAAAAATGCTGTAGAATGAACAAGAGATGCTCAAAACCCAGTCTTTCTAAATGTGCTCTTTCTCAGCTCCTATCTTCTCCCTGTGTCTAACTCTCCAGCCTCATGCCTGGGCTGATAAGAATGCACTCTGTCCAGGAAATAAGCTATGTGTTGACTTTTGTCCCTGCTTTCCCCATTGCCTTCCTTTATCTTGTTTTGCCTGCACTGGTGATGAGAGACTATCACATCCCCAGGCATCAGACAGGTGTCCAGCAAGTCGCAGATACCTTTTAATTAGATGCTATTTCCATAATTGTTCATCTTCCAAAATTTTTGTTGCTAAGCAAAGCAGACTTATTGATAGGCTTTTTTATGAGACATGATGAGGAGACACAATTCTAATGAAAATTTTATAATTATATTTTAAATAATAGCCTCAGGAGTATATGGATATCAACCCATTTAGAGAATTTTAGAGAAATCCAGAATTAGTTAAGCCTCTGCTAATGGACTAATCAGTCCCTTGAATACATCTTTATGTATCTTGTTAACAAGAAAGTGATGTTGACTGCATCCAGCTTGATTTTAAATCTCAACTACGAGAGAGCTCTGTTGTTTATAATCAAATATTCAGACAGAGAAGAATTGACAAGAATGAGCTTTGTCCGTGCCATCTTTCTATGCTCATCACCTTTTGAATCCAGGGCAAATCACTCAGCAGTGTGTTCCATTTTCTCATTTTTGCCCTGTCTTTTGTAATCATCAGCCATTTGTCACTGATATTATTATGAATGTTGGCATGCCTGGCAGATGTCATGGTATGACTGATTCTCAGAACTCAACAAAATAGGACTTTCAGCAGCATGAATGAGAATAAGAACACCCCGTCTCTGACTTGCTTTGGGTTGCAATGACATTTTTGTTTGCAAATATGTTAAAAGCATGGTAGGACAATATTTAGTGTTCACAAGGCAAACCGCATCTATTGTTTTTTATAGGGCATGATTAAAGGAAATTTTTTAGAGTGTGTTTTAAAAAATACTAAAATCCAAAGTGGCCTCTGTGGTTAGAGGCAGTGTCCTTTGTGTGCATGTATATGTGTGTGTTTGTGAGCACATATACGTGTGGGCATCCTGGGTCTCTGAATGTGCATTTCCTGTTACTAAAATATCTTTCAAGGTTCTTTAGTCAGAAAAATCACAAACTTGAGAAGTCTTTATTTTCATTGGATGCCATCTTGATTCTGCTATTCCATTTTACTCAGGGCACCCCAGATACTTCAATCAACTTTCCACTGGATTGGATATAGTCGGATTAGCAGCAGACTGGCTGACATCAACAGCTAACACTAACATGTAAGTAGATAAATATGGTTTTGTGTAATCCAGGATAATTATTAGTGAGAGTCCATCATCTTAACTCTTATGTGAAAATCTCCTTTTATTAGGTAGCCTCTAAAATAGTGATACCAACTTCAGAAGTATGAGTGTTTTCACTCTTGCTTAATAAAAAGTCTAATATATCTTGATGCAAACTATACATGTATTTTAAAATACAGAAGGGGCTTATTTTGTTGTTGGGGATTTGTAATTACATACAGTGTGAAAGAGAAATGAGACCAGATGTTATATTTTACATAGTATGATTCTCACTGTTCTTCATTCAATATGATAAACCACCCTTCTACATCATGCTAGTAATTAAAGTTCTTAACATTGGGGCTACAGAAAAATGAGCAAACCTTTTGGAATAACTTTTAAAAATAATTTTCTCTCCACTTAATGTTATAATCATAATATTTTGTGAATGTAATATTTGAAGAGGGAAATCATTCTGTAGATATTGTAATGGTGAATTATTTCTTTGAGATGCACACATAAAATGTGGCCATTTCTACATTTCAGGTTCACCTATGAGATTGCCCCAGTATTTGTGCTATTGGAATATGTCACACTAAAGAAAATGAGAGAAATAATTGGCTGGCCAGGGGGCTCTGGCGATGGGATATTTTCTCCTGGTATATGATATTCCACCTTTTCTTTGTGTTTTTTTTTTCTCCTGATATGCCTTGTTATAAACCTAAGAAATTAAATATCTGGTTCATATTTCTGATTAGGTTACATAGGATATGTGTTGATCAAAAGAAGGAAATATGGCTGAATGCACAGGACCATTGAACCTGCCTACATGCTAACTACACGTGTTTTAATATTAGTTACTTATGTTCAAAAGAAGCATAAGCAGAGATTATATTACCCAGTACTTCTCCCCATAATCCTACATTCAAGATGTATGGATAATATGCAACAAAGAAATAAAGATTCTAATAAGGGAATTCACTCTTTGATGCTCTTCTCAGAGTTAGTGAAATAGAAAGGGTAGCCTCATTCAATAATACCTTCACTGTTCGAGGGTGCATAACAAGGCAGATCTATTCAGTAGAGCATATGTACTGCTGTAGTCTTTGAAATAACTAGGAGGGAAGCTGATTTACATTAATTTCAAGGGGGGCAGACAGTGCCTGGTGAGATCATTTCTTAGAGCTAAAAAAAGGGGGATGATGATTTCTTCAAGAGGGTTCTCATTCCCTTTCTTCATTATCATGCCATTCAGTCTTTTCCATCTTGCTTTTTATAACCAGCCACTGCATTCTAAGCTCCAATGTTTACACCTCTCCCAGCCCAGAGAACCAACCTGAAATAAGAAGCTGTGCCCTTGGTTCACAAGTGTGACCTTGGTTGGATACAGAAAAGAAATAGAAAGGCAGTGGGAAGACAGAGTTACTGACCCAGGGAAAAGAAACCTGGTGTGCAGAGTATCACCTAATAGGTGACAGGGTTGGAGGGCATCAGTAGGCTGAGACAGCAGAGGGGAAGAAGCTGAAGCCATGGTGTCCGACATAGCAAAGGCCAAGTCCTGATCTCCCTTCAGCAAATCTGCAAAGGCAAGTGGAAGATGAGAGAGAAGGGGGGAGGGGAAGAAAGAAAAAAGGAAAAGAAGAAATGACGGATAAGCAACAGTGGCCTCCCCCAGGCCCAGGCTTAAATTAAACATGTTTGCCTGCAAGTTCAGATCTGCTATTTTATGTTTTTAAGTATATAGCACATTTTTTTTTCAGGTGCTAAAGGAAAATGTGTTAGTTAAATGGAAAGGAAAATTAGCCTTTTTTTTTTTGAAAAATGTCATTGAATACCAGCTGTGATGAATTTTAAGCTGACTTTTGTTTTATAGGGAGTTTAGTAATTTTCCTTTGGTACTAAGTTTTTACCTTTGCCATCATTGCCTGAAATTGATGCTGAAGGCATTTTTCATGGGGAACTCAGTAGGATTAGGAGATCAACATCATTTCTACCTTGATTTCTCCTTCCCTTACATGTTTGGTTGTAAGACTGAGCTGTCCTTGAGAGCATCCTCATCTCCATTTTAATAGCTCCAAGTAGTCGGGAAAGAATAACTGCACCTGTTGACCCTGAAAATTTGACTGACTAATTTGACAGAGGGCCAGGCCTAATTTAACCTGGTAGGTCATAGAACCTGCATGCCCCAGAAAACATACCCAAAGAAAGACTTCTCTTTGACAGTTACACTAGGCTAAGTATGGACTTAGGACTCACCCTTCCATCCTCATGAATAGTGGGGAATTATTAGGAAAAACTGAAGCTTGATCATATAGTTTCTTCCCTGAAGACTAAAGACCCATATTGCTCTCACTCCAAGATGGAAGTCATAGAGGTCATGCTGTAGTGTACCGTGGATATTCCACAGTTGAAGGGGCAGGGTCAACAGAAAAAACAATAGACAAAACATGTTTTTCCTTCTTACAAGACATCACAGAAGAGAGGCAGTTCATAGCATCCTTTTGCTAATGGATGCTTTACTAAGTAGCATCTAGCCTTGTTCCTGGCGTTCAAAGCATCTTATGATTTAAGCAGTAGGGATAGAGAAAATCACCCATTCCTATGTGGCTGTGATCTAAAAGTCCCATTCCTTGGACTAAATGTAAAAAGTTAGGTCTGTGAACTTGCATACAGAACTCAGCTCAGGTGATCTTACACCCCCAACCTATAATACCCAGAGGCTCAGGACTCCTAGAAGAAACATGCTTATGTGATCTCTTTGTGAACCAGAGAGAACTGGAGTACTCCTTGCTGCTCAGTAGGTTGTGAAGGAAAGAACTAAGTGGGGGAAAAGAAAGCTTTGCTTAGCTACAATTTTTCCTATCATAGGAGATAAGAGTATATAGAGTTTGTGCATCTGTCTCCTGCCTATTTTGCACACAAGACTCTATATCCACTCAGGGCTGCAAAGCCTGTAGCTTGAGGATGACTGAGCTACAAAAAGGAGTGGGAATAAAAGCAAGGACATTTCTTGGATAACTGCAGTGTGAAGATCACCTTCTTCATCTACATATTCCCCTTTCTCTTCTCCCTCTCTTCCTCCCCAAGACTCTTTGAGAAGAATGACTAGCAACAGCAGTTCTCAATTGGGAGGCTCCCCACCCCCCGCCAAGGAACACTTGGCATTGTCTGTAGGCATATTCGGTTGTCATAACTGAGGATGAGATGCCGCTGGCACGTGGTGGACAGAGGCCAGGACGATGCTAAATAACCTATATTCCCCAGGACAACCTCATCACAAAGAATTTTGTAGCACAAAATATCAGCAAGTTCCAGGATTCAGAAACCATGAGATAGACTGAAAATTTCTTTGACAGCTGGCCTCTCTGTCCAGCATCCTACAGTTAGCCTTTTAGACAGGGTTATCTGCTCAGTGCAGGTCTGACCTGGATTCTGCTTGTCCTGTGTCTCTGGGGTCCCAGACCTGCCCTCGTTCTGACTGGTAGGAAGCCAGGATTTGGGTGATGACTGCTCCGTCCCAGGTGGCCTGTCTGGGTCAGAGCCCAGGGCTGGTGAGACAAAGGTCACAGCCCTGCATGGGCCATTAACCTGGCATGGAGCCCTCCTGCTCCTCAGCCACCAGGAGAAAAGGCAACTCAAAGCATTCACATCATGGCTGGGCCTGGGGGTGTCTCCCTTTGGGTGGGGGGGGCACTACCCTCACTCTTCCTGACAGTCTCATGCCTCATGCCAGCAAATTCATTTGCATTCATAACAATCTGTCTATTTCCTGAATGGCAAAACTTCGAAGCTTCCCCACATCCCTGGGGAAAGCTCACTTTTCTTTGCCTGTCAATTGAAATCCTACTTATAAGATACAAACCTCGTCTTGTGAAATTCCTGACAGTCTTAGAACAACATAAGAAAGTAGTTCTATATGGGCTTAACCTTTCTTAGTTGTGTATTTTCCTATAATTATGAAATGAGACTTTGTTAACTAATACTATTATATTTCTACATTGTCTTTAAGAGTAAAGAACTGTTTCGAGACGTGAATACATGACTACGATACAGACTTGGATGTTTATCCTGAATTCTCTGAGAAATCAATTTAAAGTCCACATTGTTAACAGCAGCTTATTTGTCTCAAACATAAGTGGCTATGAATTCACTGGGACCACTGATGCTGTGTTCTATGTAATAAAAAACATCCACAGTGCCCTCTTGATACCATCTTTCTGATTAGGTGCTCAGTCAGCTGATCTTATAAATATTGTACCATCATGGCACTTTGAGCCATTTAACTTTTTTAAAACTATCTTTTTAGTTGAAAATGGACATAATATCTTTATTTTTATTTATTTTATTTTTATGTGGTGCTGAGGATTGAACCCAGGGCCTCACGCATGCGAGGCAAGCGCTCTACCACTGAGCTACAACCCCAGCCCGAGCCATTTAACTTTAATCTTTGACTGACTTGACCAAGGATTTTGGTGCAACAAAGAAATAGCATAGAGGTCCATCATATCTGACCTTTGGGGAAGGTCTGACTCAGCATGAACTGAAATGAAAAGCAATAACTATTCTCAGGCCAAATGTGCCTTTTATGAACCCTCTTGTTAGAGCCTTTGAGTCTGAGGATTCAGTTCAAAGGACAAGCAATAAGGTTCTCTCCTACATCCAAGGAGGACAGTGAAAATAAGGGATGTTGTTTGAGCGTGAAGTGTTGATGGTAATGAATAGAAAAAGTCACTGTGTCTTGCTGTGCCCTGTAGGTGGCGCCATATCTAACATGTATGCCATGCTGATTGCTCGTTTTAAGATGTTCCCAGAAGTCAAGGAGAAAGGAATGGCTGCTGTCCCCAGGCTCATTGCCTTCACATCGGAGCATGTATGTGTTTCTATTCTTTCCAAGTTGAAGGTTATATTCCATAAAAACCTCAGTTGAAGGAATCACAGTTGAAAATGCATGAATCCCAGAGGTTCTCTTTCTGGAAGATACTTCTTGGGAGAGAATGACGGGGAGCAAACAGCTGAGTGGTACAATAGAGTGTCCTCCTTATCTCTAAAATTCAAGAAAAATGTGAAGATACAGCAGAATGTTTTTACCTCTGGTTCCCATCCTTCGCTTCTCTGTAATGATGTTGTGTGTTGGGGAAAGGGGAAAAGGAGAGAAGGTAGAGTGACTGTGAACACTTTGGATCATCATCTGTGCTGTGCTCTTATAATTAAAACTCCACAGAACCCTATTGACACCTCTTTCCGTCAGCTGATTGGATAGATAGTCTACCATCATGGTACCTTGAGCCATTTAATGTTAGTCTTTGGTTGACTTGACCAGAGGTTTTATTATCATGGAAAAAAAAATAGTATAGAGGTCTGTCATTTCTTATCTTTGGACCAGCTCCTTCTCAACCAAGCACAGGCTCCTGCCTATCACCTGGATGCTGGCCAGGCAGAGGCCAAGAACTCTGGTCTTCCTTGTGGAATGCTGTGGCATTGAACTTCACAGTCTTTCCATGGCCTACAAAGAGTTCATGCCATTCTTCCTACATCCACCTTAGCAATGAAAAACATGGCCTGATCTGGTCACATATCTGATCACATAGCCTGTCAACCATCCAAACCCATCCTTCCCTCCCCCCCCCACCTCTCTCTGCCTCCCTCTTTCTTCCTCCTCTTCTGCCTCCTCTCTCTCTCTCTCTCTCTCTCTCTCTCTCTCTCTCTCTCTCTCATGCCAGGGTCAAGCAGAAAGCAAGTTGCCAGCCACACTACAGCTGTTCCCCAACCCTCCTGCCACAAAGACCCTGCAGTCAACTAGAGCTTCATTCCTTGACAGGTGTCAGATAAGCATTAGCTGCCAAGCAATTCATCAAACTGTCCCTTAATGACCTCTGCCTCAAAGTACTGCAGGGTCTGCAAAACAACTGCCTCAAGAAAGGCCCCAAAGCCCTCTAATATCTGGAGAAATGGGAGAGAGGGAGGACAGAGAGAGGTCGGTAAGAAGACTAAGGACTTCTGCAAGGAGATGTTGGTGAGGAGAAGCTGGGAGCCATAACAGCTTCTCTGTAATGATGTTGTGTGTCCGGGGAAGGGGAGGAGGGGTCTCAGATCTATTTCAGACTGTTTCTTCTTTCTATTGCAAGTGGGGTGTGTGTCTGTGTGTTCATATCAGGGAAACAAAAGGAAAGTACAGACTGGTAGCCAGTGGATACAGTTCACTACCATCTCAGTCGCTATGGAATTAATGATTGTTTAATTAGTTCCATGATTAATAATTGTTAACAATGAAACTAATGATTGTTTGTTAACAAACTTTCTTGATCGTCTTGTTTTCAGTTACATTGGGAGTTTTGTTAATTTTTTAATATACCCTTCTTCAACTCATTAGGGGTCCAATTTAGAAAAAAACCACAGCCTGGAATTAGCTAGCATTTTTCCTTTCTATGGCTGCTGAGTCAAATCATCACAAATCTAGTGGCTTAAAACAACACAAATTCATTATCTTATAATTATGGAGGTCAGAAATCTAAAATGGGAAAAGCAGGGCTGTGTTCCTTCTGGAGGGCCTCAGGGAGAATCTAGTTCCTTGCCTGGTCTAGCCTCCAGAGGCTGCCTACATTTCCTGATCCATGGCCCTTCCTCCAGCTTCCAATCCAGCAGTATATCATCTCTAATTTCAATGTCTCTCTCCCTCCCACCCCCTACTCCTTTCATTACTATATCTCTTTCTCTGGCTTTGCCTCTCCTGCCTCTCCCTTTCATATACAAAGACCCTTATGATTACATTGGACACATCCCAATATCTTCAGCCTACCTGCATCTACAAAGTCCCTTTTGCCATGTAAGGAAACATATGCACAGGTTTCAGGGATGAGGATGTGGATGCCTTTGGAGGTAGAGGAATCCATTGCTCAGCCAACCACACCTAGTATGACATCAGGAGATAACTTTCATCTCTAAGCTTCTTTAAGAGTTAGAAAAAAGTATCATGACATAATTTTTATTCTCAATTACTATGTCCTTGAAATGGATCTAGACCCCCAAAATAAATATCATTATATTTTCAGCTTTTAAAAGTCCCAATGATCTTATATCAAGCATCTTTTTGTTTTCTAAGCTATTCCAAGCCAAGAGGTGATTGGTCTAGCAATAAGCTGCCTTGGGTTCTCTACCAGGTGTCCCTGATTTCTTCATGAGTTTTTCAGCTTCACACTTGATGTAAATTGACTTAGCCCCTTCCAGAAAGCTCAGTCTATATAGTCTGAAAATCATTTTGCTCCACTTTCTTCTCTAGATATTGTAAACATGGGGTCTACTCCTTCATTCCTAAAAGAAAGAAAATTTGAGTATACAACCAACATTTGATTCTTCACCCTCCTTCCTGTACCTCTATCCACACATATAATTATGAACAATTACTGGAATTATGAACCTTTCCTAAAATCCAATATAGGCTTATTTTATTTTATTTTATTCATTTGTGTTGCTGGGGTTCAACTCAAGTCCTTATGCATGCTAACCAAGTTCTCTATCACTGAGCTACGGCCCCCCTAGGCTTATCATTTTTAACAGATAAACTATTTTCCTAATGTAAAATACCTTATATCTGATTACTATTTCACAGTCTCCAAATACTTCCAATATTATAAACTTGTTTGATTCTCCTAACCTTATGGGACAGGTATTGTTACGAGCATTTTTAAATTGAAGAAGCTGAAGTTAGCCGGGTAGGTGGATCCAGAATTAAATGGGATTTCTCAATTCCCAGACCATTGAAGCCCATGCCCCGACTACTGCTGTAAAAACTAAACTCAAAGATCAGAGTTTCATATACAACAGTCTCATCAGTTGACCTTGATCACTAATCAAATTTCCTCCATGATCTTTTTTCTTAATGTGAAGGTTATTATTTTTATTCCTTCTCCCTACCAAAAGAAATCATCCTCTTTATCTCCTAGGCCTGGACTGTGGGGGGAGGGGCACTTTCAGAGCTCATCTGAAGCGCTTCCATGTCACCTTGAACACTAACCCATACGTTCTGGACAAATGAGTGCTTACCAGTGAGTCCTTTCCTTAAAGTGCTAGGTTCAGAAGTCACACGATTGCAATCTCTAGTTCCTTTGGGCTCTATATCTCAGGCTTTTATGTTCAATTAATTATTTAGCATAGCTCCTTCTGGCTTCAGGCCAAAGGCACATATTCCTTTGGCCTTTTCCAATTTTACAATAATTTTATTTCCACCTGTCCCAGAAATAGCTCTCTGTAGGCCTGGTGGAGGAGGGTACCGGAAGGGGAAGGGCTGCTATGTTAATCCAGGGAGGACATGGGAGGCCAGTGGATGAGGAAGGGTTGCTGCAGGTATCTTTCTTCCTGTTCTTTGAGAGGCTTCCAGAACCCAAGACTTTTGGAAAATCATAGGAGAGCCTTAGAAAACATGTCCTTGCCTCAGTGCCAGAGATATAAAAAACTCTACATAAATATTAGGTACCTTTAAAAAATGACCTTGTTTTATAGATCCAAGCAACCAAGCCTCAGAGATGGAGACTGCTTTGCTCCAGGTTTCACAGTCAGTCCAGGGCAGAATCAGACCTACAGCCTCAATTTCCCACTCATCCAACCCAACTACCGGGCTGGATGATCAAATGCCTCCTATAGCTGGCTGCTCTAAATTCACTGGTAGCATCTTGTCCCAAATTCCATTATCTCCATGTTGGTTATTCTAGCACTAATATAATTTCTTGATCTATTGAAGCAGGTCAAGTAACTGATTTTTTTTTCTATTCTGGGCACTGAATTTATAACTTGGCATGCTTAGAACCATAGAGATGGAAATGATGTTGACAGACTCTGTATCTACTGCACCCAACTTCAGGAAGGGAAGAGTCATCTCTTTTCTAAGTGACACTTTACTCTCTCTCAGTCACACCACATCAGGGCTACCTACCTCTTTTCTGGCCACCAATTTCGACTAGAACTTCACCTAGCTGATAAGGAGGGCAAGGTGTTAAATTTTTCTGTTTGTTAAGATCCACTGTTTTCTTATAAAAATTGAATAGAACTAACTTAAATAATATAGCCAATAAGACTATTAGGAGAAGTAAATAAATTATTAAGTTGAAATAAGAGCTCATATTTAGCCCAAGACTAAGAAGTCCTAAGACTACTTTCCTCCAAATTACAGAACCACAAAATCTCCCAACTGGAAGAGGTCTTAAAGATCATTTGATCCTACCCTCATCCTTTGCTGGAATTTCCCTGATTCTTCAACAATAGAAAGGCTTGGCAAAAATTAAGCTGAGAAGTTCTAAGTCTTTTCTTGAAAGTAGGTTTAGAGGGAAGTTAAGTTCCCAGCTCAACAATTCACATCTATAGCTCTAAATCCTTTGAAAGCCTAAACCATGAGCATGATTCCACATTCCTCTATTTGCTCATGTGACATAATCTCTTCCAGAGATAGCTTTCATGAAACAGTATATTATCATCTAGGAAAAATGTTCTTTATAATCATAACAGACAATAGGATTTCTTAGGCAAATCACCATAACTAACTCACTCCAGTCTTCACACACCAAACATAGCTCATGTCTACATCTCGCAGAACTGGTCATCAGTATTTTACCCTCGTCCCTCCTGGCCTCGGGCCTCTTCCATGGAGAATTCTCGCAGGTGTTTCAGAAAGATGGTTTTCACATATGACTGAGGGGGTATCAATTCCAATGGTAGATCTCAAAAGCAACAACAAAACACAAAGGCATAAAAAAAAAAAAAGTGACCCAGGAAGCTTTTAAAAAAAAACAACTCACACAATAAAATGTAATTCTCTCCATTAGGCAAAAACTTAGCCTGACAGAATGAACGACAAGTGAAAATGTGAGCTAAGTTCAACAC